AAGAGTGTGCTTCTTAGCTCAAGTAGATACATGAGACTGAATGGGCAGCTCCTGTCTGGAGGTGAGATGGAAAGGCGTAGAGGGTCAGAAGCTGGATGAATAGACACAGGAAATACAGGGTGGAAAGGAGGAGTGTGCTGTCACAGTATAGGGAGAGCAAATACAGTCACATAACAATGTGTGTATAAGTTTTTGTATGAGAGACTAACTTGAATTGTAAACTTTCACTTAAATCACAATTAAAAAAAGGACGGGGGTGTTGGATTTTATCAAGTAAGTACCTTTTCTGCATCCATAGGCATGATCATGTGGATCTTTGTTCTAGTGATATGGTGTATTACATTGATTGATTTTCTTATGTTAAACCATCCTTTCATTTCCTAGAATAAATCCCACTTGGTCATGGGATTTAAATTTATCAAGACTTGCTTTGTGATCTAACATGTGATCTGTTCCGGAGAATGATCCATGTGCCCTAGAGTAGAATGTATTTTGTGCTTCCATTGGGTGGAATATTCTATATATGTCTGTAAAGTCTCTTCTATATATGTCTGTAAAGTCATGAAGTTGGTTTATGGTGTCATTCAACTCCTCTGTTTCCTTTTTGGTCTTCTTTCTACATATTCTGTCCAATATTGAAAGTGGTATATTGAAGCCTCCAACTATTATTGTAGTGATATCTATGAAGCAGTTCTCTTCTGTCCTGGAGGGTCACTATGAGTCATAATCAACTCGACAGCAACAGGTTTGGTTTGGGGTTTTTTGTTTTTTTTAAAATCTATTTCTCCTTTCAATTTTATCAGTGTTTGCTTTATATATTTAGACACTCTGATATTGGGTGCGTATCTATTTTATTCTTAATTCTTCTTGATGAATTGTCCTCTTCATCACCATGTAAAGTCCATCTTATCTTTTCTAACAGATTTTGACTCAGAGTCTACTTTGTCTGATATAAAGATTGCCGCCCCAGCTCTCTTTTGGTTATTATTTGCATGGAATATTTTTTTCCATCTTTTCACTTTCAACATATTTGTGTCCTTGGGTCTAAGATTTCTCCCTTATAAACAGCATGTAATTGGATCATTTGTTTTTATGTATTCTGCCACTCTCTGCCTTTTGATTGGAGTATTTAATCCATTTACATTCATGGTAATTACTGATAAGAAGTGACTAACTTCTGCCATTTTGTAATTTGTTTTCTTGTGTCTTAAGCCATCTTTGTCTTTGTCTTTCTCCTACTGCTTCCTTTTGTGTTTCGTTTATTGTATTCAGCCACTTTAGTTCCCTTCTCCATTCCTTTTGTGTATGTTTTTTTAGGTATTTTCTTAGGGTTTACCGTGAATATTACATTTAACAGCTTGTATTTATAACATTCTAGGGTAAGTTGTTACCAACTTAACTTCAATAACATACAAGAAATTCTATATACCATTTCTCTCCTCCCCTTTTATTGTTATCACTAATTATGTCTTTATATTTCATGTGTCCTGTAACATAATTTTATCCTTGCTTTTTGTACATTTGTTATTAAAAAGCATGAAGGACAAAACAATTAGAATTATCAACCATGAATACCTTATCAGTAGCCCTTTCCATGCACTTCTCTTTATTAGGGATTTTTTTTTTTTTTTAAATGTATGGCTTTGAATTACATTCTAGTGTCTTTTCCCTTCATTTGTAGAACTCCCATTAGTATTTTTTGTGTGGCTGGTTTGCTGGATGTAACTCTCTCAGCTTCTGTTTGTCTGGGATGTTTTATTTTCACCCTCATTCTTGAAGGACAGTTTTGCTGGGTATAGCATTCTTGGTTGACCGTTTTTTCTTTATTATTCCATTGCCTTCTGGCCTCCAATAGTTCTGCAGAGATATTGGCACTTAATCTTTTTGTGGATTCATTGTATATGACTGTTTGCTTCTCTCTCGCTGCTTTAAGGATTCTCTCTTTATCCTTACTTTTTGAGAGCCTGACTGTGATGTGGCTTGGTGTAGATCTCTCTGGGTTTATCCTGCTCAGGGTTCTTTGAGCTTCTTGGATTTGTAGATTCATGTCCCTCATCAGATTGAGGAAATTTTTGGTAATTATTTCTTCAAATATTTTTTCTGTCCCTTTCTGTCTCTTATCTGCTCCTGGAATTCCCATGATGCGTATATTGGAGCCCTGGGTCGCGCAGTGTTTAAGAGCTCAGCTGCTAACCAAAAGGTAGGCAGTTCAAATCCACTAGCCACTCCTTGGAAACCCTGTGGAGCAGTTCTGCTCTGTCCTGTAGGGTCACTATGAGTCGGAATCAACTCAACAGCAATGAGTTTTGGGTTTTTTGTTGTTGTTGTTGTCGTCCCGTAATTCTGTTAAATTGTGCTCAGCCTCCTGGAGACTGTTCTTATTGTTCTCAGTCTTTGTAATTTCTACTCTCTTATCCTCTGATTTGCTGATTCTTTCTTCTGCCTGATTAAATATGTTGTTAAAATCCTTCCATTTGTTTCTCATTTTAGTTATTCCTTACAGTTGCAATATTTCTGTTTGGTTTCTTTTTATCTCTTTTTTTAGATTCTCATTATATTACATTTTTTTTCCTTATTTCTTGTAGATCTTTGTCTATGTTTTCCCTTAACTCTTTAATTATATTTGACATTGTTGGGTTTTATTCTTCCATTCATTATTTGGTGTTCCATTGAAGTGTTTTCATACTCTTTGTCATGTTCATTTGGGTGGGCCATTGTTTCTCTTTGTGTGTCTTGTGATTTTCTGTTGGAACATTGGAATTTTCAAGGGTGTTAGCTTTCTCAGATCTCCCCAGTATTTTGGTGTTTTTTTTCCACACTACTTTCTGCAGTAAAGTCTTAGGTTGGCTGAACCTTCAGCCTTTGCTTACCATTTTCTGTCCCTCTCTATGATAGCTTCTTCTCTCTCCCTGGTTTTATTATATTCAAAAGTTCCAAATCTTAGTTTTCAACTTACAGTGTCTCCCAAACATGCCAGAGAACACGCTGTGATCAATCTCTCCACCAGCAGGCACCTCCTTTCAGGCAAGAGGTCATGCAGTAATCAGTCTGTTCACCAGGATACATCATCCTCTCTCTGGTTGTTACTTCCTTCAGTTCTCTGTTTCTGCTACCACATTTTCAGTTGGATAACCACACCAAGTGAGCTCCCTTCAGGGCTTGGTGTTTCCCTCCCGTTTTGCTCAAGGCTTTCTTCCCTGCTCTGTGGGAGCTGCTTATATCTGAGCTGGCATTCAGGGAAAGCACAGGCAAACTTTCTTCCATTTCAGGAGGAGGAGGGACTAGCATTCCCCAGAAAGACCCCTGAGAGATCTATCTCATTTGTTTCAGTTTCAGAGCTCCAGTGGCCCTGTGGTGGTGGCGCCACTATAGGGAATGTTTTGTAGGAGTTCATATTAATCCTGCAGCCGACAGTTACCAGTTGGGGGAAGAGTTGTCACACTCTGAATGGACCCCCCGTGAGGTCTGCTTCATTGCTATTAGAGCCCACCCCATGGTATGTTGACTGATGATGTAGCCTCCACTCAAGTTTCCTGCTTCCTAGCACACAGCAGCCTCAGTTGGCAGTTCTCAGTGCCAACTGCAGAGGGGAGCAGACAGATCCAAACTGACCCCCAGGGAGGTTTGTCCTGTTGGTTTCAGAGGCCTGAGCTGTGGAGTGCGCAGAGAGGCTGGTAGAGTGCTGACTATGGGTGCAGACTACACTTCAAAGGCCTTATTTAGCAGTTTGCAACAGCCTGGCAACCAACAGTTATCAGATGGGGTTGGGGTGTCATGCTATGGTTGGATCCCCACAGAGGTCTCCTGTTGCTGTTAGAGCCCACTCCCCCCCACCCAGAAGATTATTGGCTGTGAGTGCAGTCTGCACACAAGACACTTGCTTCCAAGCGCGTGGCAGCCTCAATCAGCAGTCCTCAGCACCAGCCAAAAGTGGGAGCAGACTATCCCGAATTGACTGCCGGGGAGATTTGTCCTGTTGGTTTCAGAGGCCTGAGGTATGGGGTTCACAAGGAGGTAGGTAGAGTGCTTACTTGCAAGCAGACTCCAGTGCAGGCTACCTCCTGTACAAATTTGCAGCAGCTTTGCAGCTGACAGTGTCCAGATGGAGAAGGTGCTGGCATGCTCCAGACAGATCCCTGGGTAGGTCTGCCTTGTTTATTTTAGAGCAGAAGCTTGGAGTCCTGTCTCTTTGTACAGACAAGGGATGTGGTGGTTAGGGAAACAGGCTCTTTTGCTGGGGCCGCTGCTCTGGTTCACAGCTCCTAGCAACCTAGGTGGCTAGGGGTAGGGGCAGAGATGGTGGGAGAAGTGACTTTCCTACTCTGTGCAACTCGTTGATTTGTTGATTCTTGCCTGTCCGCAGTTCTCCACTGCTTTCCTCTGCTGCCCAATTCAGAGTCCCTCAAAGCAAGCACCGTTTACTTGTTGTATTTGTGGGGGTGGGTCATAACGATGGTTTGTATATGTCACCATCTTCCCAGAAACCCCACACTTGATTTATTGAACCACAATTTTATACTGCTTCATATCCTAAGGGTTCTCCAGACTGAATCACTGCTCTCTCAATCCATCCCTTTGTCCTCATAGGGAAATAGGGAAAGACATAAAGACATTTGTACAGAGGTTATACGGTTAGCTGTCTGAAAGCAAAGACTTGTGCACATGGTTTCTATCAGTGTGAGCGGTTATGGGTTAGAAGATAATTGTAGTAAGGGGGGAAACATGGCTGCATGTTGCCCCTGTTTACAGAGCCAAAACTGCTTGTGATGCTTATTTGAACATGTTTATAGTGTGTTACTTAGAACAGGTCTTACAAGTAGGTTTTCTGGATTAGGATGGAATAGAAAAGTAGGTCATGAAAAGGAAGTCTTGATTGGGATAGCATTTAAGTTTTAAGCATTTTGAAGAACAGAGGATCCAGTCTCACCATCAGACAAGGCAGAATTGCTTGGGTTGCCTGACCAGAAATTAGGTTCTGACTCAAACCTTTCTCTCTGCAGCAGAACCAAAGCCAGAAATCCAACTCTGTCCTTTCTGCCCCCCGGATTTCTCCAGTCAGAAATTCCACCTGCAACATGTACTGTGCAGTCATCCCCCTTGGATGTTCACATGCTTGTGTGCTGAAAATCATGTCCAGCCAGGGGATTCCTGCCCAGGGGAACAGAAGAAACAGCAACAAACCTGTGATGAAAGTTCCTGGAGTGATAAATCAAAAGGTCAAGAGAAAGAAGGTGCCAAACCTGTGTTTGGAAGGACAAAGAAAAAGACTTTAGGAACATTCTCCAGGCCACCCCAAAGGCAGCCAGTCAACTCTAGGAATGGCATCAGAGGTGTGGAAATAGAAACCAGCCCAGCACAGAGGGGGATTCCTGAGGAAACAGACAAATTATTGAAGAGGATAGAAGTCTTAGGATTTGGAACAGTCAACTGCGGAGAGTGTGGACTAGGCTTCAGCAAGATGACAAACCTACTTAGTCACCAGAGGATACACTCAGGGGAGAAGCCTTATGTATGTGGGGTGTGTGAGAAGGGCTTTAGTCTAAAGAAAAGCCTTGCCAGACACCAGAAAGCACACTCAGGGGAGAAACCTATTGTGTGCAGGGAGTGTGGGCGAGGATTTAACCGGAAATCAACACTCATCATACATGAGAGGACACACTCAGGTGAAAAGCCTTATATGTGCAGTGAGTGTGGGCGAGGCTTTAGTCAAAAGTCAAACCTCATCATACACCAGAGGACACACTCAGGGGAGAAGCCTTATGTGTGCAGGGAGTGTGGGAAGGGCTTTAGCCAGAAATCAGCTGTTGTTAGACACCAGAGGACACACTCAGAGGAGAAGACCATTGTGTGTAGTGATTGTGGACTAGGCTTTAGTGATAGGTCAAACCTCATTTCACACCAGAGGACACATTCAGGGGAGAAGCCTTATGCTTGCAAGGAGTGTGGACGATGCTTTAGGCAAAGGACAACCCTTGTCAATCACCAGAGGACACACTCAAAGGAGAAGCCTTATGTGTGTGGGGTGTGTGGGCACAGCTTTAGCCAGAATTCAACCCTCATCTCACATAGGAGGACACACACAGGGGAGAAGCCTTATGTGTGTGGAGTGTGTGGGCGAGGCTTTAGTCTGAAGTCACACCTCACCAGACACCAGAACATACACTCAGGGGATAAGCCCATTGTGTGCAAGGATTGTGGGCGAGGCTTCAGCCAGCAATCAAATCTCATCAGACACCAGAGGACACACTCAGGGGAGAAGCCCATGGTGTGTGAAGATTGTGGGCGAGGTTTCAGCCAGAAGTCAAACCTAATTGCACACCAGAGGATACATTCAGGGGAAAAGCCTTATGTGTGCAGGGAGTGTGGGAGAGGCTTCAGTCACCAGGCAGGACTCATCAGACACAAGAGGAAACACTCAAGGGAGAAGCCTTATACATGCAGGCAGTGTGGACTTGGCTTTAGCAATAAGTCAACTTTAATTACACATAAGCGGTTGCACTCAGAAGACAAGCCTTGTGTATGCAGACAATGTGGTCAAGATTTTATCCAAAAATCACACCTCCTATTACATCAGATGACACACAAGGAAGAGAAGCCTTATGTGTGCAGGACATATGCGCAAGGTTATAACCAAAAGTCCCACCTCAACAGACACAGAAGGATAAAGTCTGTCCATCACAAGTCACCACTCAAAGCTGACTTGGAGACTTTTTCAGGGCAATCTTCTGTCCCCTTGCACTCCCTTTGAAAGTGAAGATGTCCTCGTGGACTAAGTAGTCAAAATTTTTACACTTTCATGAAATGGAGTAGAAAAATGCATTCCTTAAGTGGTCAAAGGACATTTGACTTAGTTTATCCACACTAAGTCTTTTACATGTTTTGTGGCCTTTTGTTTTAATAAACTTTGCTTCTTTAGAAATCTGTAACCCTGGCTGTGTACTTCATTCACTTGCCAGTCTGTAAAAATAGGGAATAAGTATTGGTACAGATATCTTGATCTCTTAAGTCCTGTGTTGCTTATGAATTCAATTTCTTGGAAGACAAGAACTGATATAAGGTCTCTTAGCCACACTCAGTAGTTCTCCAATTCACAGGGCTAAAGATGTTTAACCGTGTTTAAAGATATTCCACCATATTTCTTTCATTGTGTTCCAGTCCAAAGTGGTTTTGCTCAAAATGAGAAAAGGCCTTCGTTGAAGGCAGAGCAAGATGGCAGAGTAGGCAGTTCCAAGTTCTTGTCTCCCCACAGAGTCATCAAAAAAGCAAGCAGAAACTGACAGAACCAACTATGCTAGAACTCTGGAAATTAGTCAAAGGTTTACAGCAACCAAGAGAGCACTGAATCAAGAAAAAGACAACTTCAAAATGGTAGGAAGTCTTCATGGCATTTTTACTTGCCTGTGCCCCCACCTCCTCCTGGGCATGGCAGCAGTCTTAAAGTAGTGGTAGCCCGTGTTTTCAGAGAGAGACCATGGTCTCTGGCTCTGGAGGAACAGAACACACTTTATTTGCAAATTATTGCATCTTTCTGTTCTAACCTGTCTGGGGGCTACCTGAAGGACTGATGGAAGGCGCTCGCCTCTGTTTTGCCTAACTCAGAACTCAGGCTAGAAAAACAGTGGGCATTGCTTGGAAACACTGCAATCCGAAGTAACCCACAGACGTCTGGGGCAAGATAATGGTTGAAAAATACAGAAGATTGCCTAAAACCTGGGAACAAAACTGGGAGAATTTCTTTGGAAAATTAAGACATTCAAAAGAACCTCTGTATAAGGGAGAATTTAGAATGCTACATACATGCCCAGGGCAACACACTACAGTTGCACCTCAGACTGATTCCTAGGCTCAGTGTAAGCCTGGGTAAGTGTTGAAGGAGTACCTCAACACAGCCAATCTGCAAACACTGGGAAAGGTGGTTTTATTTGCTGATTTTCTTTTTTTTCGCCCTTAACTTCTGGTGTTCAAATAAATCTCTATCAAAACACTAGCTGAGCCAATAACTATGCAAAAAAATGCTCAAGGTCATTAGTGAAATGCAAGTCAAAACCACAGTGAGATACCATGTCACACCCACTAGGTTGGCTATCATCAGAAAAACGGAAACTAATGAAGTGTTGGCCAGGATATGGGGAAATTGGAACACTTGCACATTGCTGGTGGGACTGTAAAATGGTGCAGCCACTGTGGAAAACGGTTTGGTGGTTGCTCAAAAAGTTAAACAGAATTACCATACAATTCAGCAATTCCACTCCTTGGTATATCCCCAAGAGACTTGAAAGCAGGGACACAAACAGATACTTGTATGCCGATGTTCGTTGCAGCATTATTTGCAATTGCCAAAAGCTGGAAACAAGTGTCCATCAACAGATGAATGAATAAGCAAAATGTTGTATACACATACAATTGAATGTTATTCAGCTGTAAACGAAATGAAATCCTGATACGTACTATGATGTGGGTGAACCTTGAAAACATGCTGAGTGAAATGTCAGAAACAGAAAAATACATATTGTATGATCCCACTATTTTGAAATATCTAGTGTAGACAAATACATAGAGACAAAAGATTATCAATGGTTACCAAGGGCCTGCGGATGGGGAGAAGGGAATGAGAGTACTTAAAGCATACTGAGGTTCTGGTTGAAGTGAGGCAGAACTTTTGGAAATGGGTAGTGGTGATGGTTGCACAACATGTTGAATGTAATGAATGTCGAGTTGTACACTTAAAAATGATTAAAATGACAAGGTTTATTATATCTGTTTCACCAGCTATAAGTCCTATTTTTAAGACTTCAGAAAGATTTAAGTGTATGCCACCTAGACCCTCTCAAACACTCATAATGGCTTGTAAGAATTTTTTAAGGGTGTGATCCCACAGCACCTGACATTCAACCCAAACCAGAGAGGGGCATATCTTGAAGAGCTTTGTTATGTTGTTATGTTGGTATGTCTGATGGAGTGAACTCTTAACAAGATGCATAGAAAATCCATAACATTTTAAAGAGACTTGTAATAATAGAAACATCATTAGCTTCGTCTAAAAAGGTCAGAGAAAAACCCTAACTTCCTATGGACAGGAAGGCAGTCTGTAGTCACAGGCCATTTCTAATGGAAAAGGAAGGATATCTCAGAGTACAGACACAAAAGCCATGGAGAATCATTCTCATGGAGAAGTAATGAGCACTAATCAAGGAACTAGCGGCATATGCTCAGCTGAATTTGAGAATTTCTATGATCCAGTGCCTACTGTGTGTCTGCTATTTCCCTTTTATTAATGGAAACATTTGTTTCGGTTATTCTATCCTTGCATCAGCATCAAATGTTAGATATGCTTCTTTAGTTCATAGGTTATCTTAGGCTGGCTTCTCTCTAGAGGAGCAAAACCAGTGAAGCATATATATATAGAGAGAGAGACAGAGATGTATCTCAAGGAAATGGCTCATGTGGTTGTAGAAGCTGGGAAGTCCCAAGTCTGTGGGTCAGGCATCAGGCTGGAGGCTTCTCCTGACTCACATACCTGCAGGGGCTGACAAACTCAAGTTTGGTAAATCAGATGGTAGGCTCTTGGCTCATGGGCTTTGGAGGCCTACGAATCCCAAGATCAGCTGGCAATATGGCAGGCCGCTGGCTCAAGTCCCATTAACCAGAGATCAGACGATGATGAGCTGGATGCAGGATCCAGAGTGAGCAAAAGGCAGTGAGCTTGCCAGAACGTCCATCTATATTGGAAGCAGGTGACATACCCAAAGAAACTTACAACTGATTGGCCGATCACGTTAGATCACATCATAGGGGTGATTACATTATAGCAAAAAATATAACTACATCATTTCATAACTGCCAAACTACATGATTACATAACTGCCAAACCACTGAGAATCATGGCTCATCCAAGTTGACACACAGCCTTAACCATTACAGTCCACCCCTTGTCTACTTGGCACCTGTACACATCTCCTTAAACGATGCACAATCTCGTATAAAGACAATTACAAAGTCATACTTTCACCTAACATGATACAACTGTGTGTAACCAAAAAACACACTACCCCATTTACATCTTGTATTTTATAAGTGAAGACAATAAAAATATATGATGCACACATGCAAGGAAGAAATACTCATAACAATTACAGTCCTCATTTCTGCAACTGGTCACATGGTCATAACTGGTATTTAGAACTACCTTCTTCCACCACCCATTCCATATTCCCATTGCCTTCAGCAAACACCTAAGCTGGAGATAGAAAACCAAAAGGGAAGAACATGCTCATCATTTCTCAAGCTGAAAGAACTGAAGAAAAAATTCAAGCCTTGAGTTGCAATATTGAAGGATTCTATGGGCAATATATTGAAAGATGCAGGAAGCATCAAAAGAAGATGGAATACACAGAGTCACTGTACCAAAAAGAATTGGTCAACATTCAGCCATTTCAGGAGGTAACACATGATCAAGAACCAATGGTACTGAAGGAAGAAGTCCAAGCTGCACTGAAGACATTGTCAAAAAAAAAAAAAAAAAGGCTCTAGGAATTGACAGAATACCAATTGAGATGTTTCAGCAAATGAATGCAACATTGCAGGTGCTCACTCGTCTATGCTAAGAAATTTGGAAGACAGCTACCTGGCCAACCAACTGGAAGAGATCCATATTTGTAGCCATTCCAAAGGTGATCCTACAGAATGCAGAAATTATCAGACAATATTATTAATACTACATACAAGTTAAATTTTGTTGAAGATAATTCAAAATGGTTGCAGCAGTACATTGACAGGGAACTGCCAGAAATTCAAGCCAGATTCTGAAGAGAATGTACAATGAGGGTTATCATTGCTGATGTCAGCTGATCTTGGCTAAAAACAGAAAATACCAGAAAGATGTTTACCTATGTTGTCAAGGATTGAATTACGTCCCCCAAAAATGTGTGTATCAATTTGGCTGGGCCATGATTCCTGGTATTGTGTGATTTTCCTATATGTTGTAAACCCTGCCTCTATGATGTTAATGAGGGAGGATGGGTGGCAGCTGTGTTAGTAAGGAAGGACTCAATCTACAAGATTGGATTGTGTCCTGAGGCAATCTTTTGAGATATAAAAGGGAGAAGTGAGCAGAGAGACAGAGGGACCTCATACCACCAAGAAAGCAGTGCTAGGAGCAGAGCACATCCTTTGGAACTGGGGTCCCTGAGCGGAGAAGCTCCTAGTCTGAGGGAACACTGATGAGAAGAATGCCGACAGAGACAGAAAGCCTTCCCCTGGAACTGATGCCCTGAATTTGGACTTTTAGCTTACTTTACTGTGAGGAAATAAACTTCTCTTTGTTAAAGCCATCCACTTGTGGTATTTCTGTTATAGCAGCACTAGATGACTAAGACATATGTTTTATTGACTATCAAAGGCATTCGATTGTGTGGATCATAACAAATTATGGATAACATTGTGAAGAACGGGAGTTCTAAAACAATTGTGCTTCTGAGAAACCTGTACATAGACCAAGAGGCTACTATGTGGTTTAACATCAGGAAAGGTGTGTGTTAGGGTTATATCCTTTCACCATAATCTGAGAAACTGAACTATATGAAGAAGGATGTGGCATCAGGATTGGAGGAAGACATTAACAACCTGTGATATGCAGATGACACAACCTTGCTTGCTGAAAGTGAAGAGGACTTGAAGTACTTACTGATGAACATCAAAGACAGTAGCCATCAGTTTGGATTACACCTCAACACAAAGAACACAAAAATCTTCACAACTGGGCTAATAAGCAACATCATGATAAACGGAGAAAATATTGAAGTTGTCAAGAATTTAATTTTACTTGGATCCACAATCAATGCCCGTGGAAGCAGCAATGAAGAAATCAAACGATGTATTGCGGTGGGCAAATCTGCAAAAGACCTCTTTAAAGTGTTCGAAAGCAAAGATAACTCTTTGAGGACTAAGGTGTGCCTGACCCAAACCATATTTTCAGTCACTTCATATACATATGAAAGCTGGACAATGAATAAAGAAGATCAAAGAATTGATGTCTTTGAATTATGATGTTGGCAAAGTATTGAATATATCATGGACTGCCAGAAGAATGAACAAATCTGTCTTGGAAGAAGTACAGCCAGTACGCTCCTTAGAAGCGAGGATGGTGAGACTTCGTCTCACATACTTGGACATGTTATCAGGAGGGATCCGTCCCTGGAGAAGGACATTATGCTTCGTAGAGTGTCATTGAAAAAGAGGAAGATCCTCAGTGAGGTGGATTGACATAGTGGCTGCAACAATGGGCTCAAACATAGCAACAATTGTGAGGATGGCGCAGGACCTGGCAGTGTTTCATTCTGTTGTACGTAGGGTCACTATGAGTCAGAACCAAATCAATGACACCTAACAACAATTCCTGAGAATCTAGAAAGCCATGCATATGAGTAGGGCTGTGAGCAACCTCAGAAAAGCCCTGAGAATGCCCTAAGATTTCACCTATGGCTGACTGTGAGGTTCTGCACAAATGAGAAGTGAAGGTTAAGGCAGAGTTGTAAACTGTCTGGATCAGTGTTGAAGGCAAATTCCAATTTATACACAGAGCAACTGAAAGATTTATTGGTTCCAAGTGTTTAAGGAAACCTCTGCCCAATCATTAGCTGACCATGAAGTTAACTGAGTAGAGACTTCAGTGGCCACACATGACAAATACTTTACAGAATTATTTTGGAAAAGTCACCAAAAAAAAAAAAAAAACAACAACTAGTACCAAAAATGTAATAACAGCAAACCCTAGGGAAGGGGGCAATCTGATTTCTAGAGTTCCCATATTATTTAAAAAATCCAGTTTTCAACAACAACACCAAAAAAAAAAAACCTATGAAATATACAAAGAAACAAGAAAGTATGGCCCATACGAGGAAAATAGCAATCAGTAGAAACTGTTCCTGAAGAATTCCAGATGCTGAATTTACTATACAAAGACTTTAAACCAGCTATTTTCAGTATGTTCAAAGAGCTAAAGGAAAGCATGAGAAAGATGTCTTACCAAATACAAAATATAAATAAAACATTACAAATTAATAAAAGAAACTAAAAAGAAATCCTGCATTTAAGCATTATAACTGAAATGAAAAATTCATTAGAGGG